TTTAGGATTTGGGGAGAGGGGCCTCTGCGCTTTAGGATCTGAGTATAGCGTTTGTGCAAGCCCCTGAAGCCTGACACTCAGGCCCCAAACGGCCTCCGCAGCACCCGTAAAGGATTCCAGGGACTGGACCTGGCCCAAAGCAGGAGTCTTTCTTTGAGGGTTCGGGGTCTTGGTCTTAGCGTTTATGGTTCAGGTTCCAAGGCTTTGGGTTTTGGGCTTCAGTTTCAGATCCAAGATCCGTTTCTTGATTCTTGTGTTTGTACCAACTAGATTTAGGATTCGGGACTTGAGGACCTGTTCTTGTGGGGCTTGAGAGGGCTCAGGAATTGCTTTAGGATCTGGGTTCCGTCCTCTGACTTGCAAGCAGAGACCACCCGAAACCTTCCCATGATAGGCGTATGGTTTATGGTTGAGGATTTAGGACAGAATCATCCTTTTAATATGGCTGACAACCGCAACAGCGCGAATGAAGACTTGGACTTCAGCTGTACTAGACCAATGATGTGGGAGCTTTAGCGACCGGAGGTTTCACTTTTGAAGGTTCGTGAGTTCATGTCAGACTTAATCCCAACCCCAAAACCGCACTATAAAGAAGACAGCAGCGAGAAATGACGAATTCTCAAGTCGGATCGCGTTAAGGAGCCCTACAGCTCCAAACACTGAAACTCGAAACGAAAGTTTCTATGCCATGCCATGCCGTCTTCAGTCTGGTCAGTCTATAGCCTGTCTCTGGTTCGGCATACCTAAGCGACATGTACAGCTCCAAAAACACAGCAGCTGCTGCGACAAGTAGCATTGTACACTAGTGGAAACGAGCAGGAAGAGTGCTGCCAGCTGTGCATGCAGCTCCCACGAAAGTTTCAGGACCACGGGACCGACGGGACCCTTATCTGGACCGACCTTGCAGCGTAGGATCCTTACCTTAAGCTGTAATGACGCTAGATGAGATACTCGCAGTCTTCAGGAGCCCGATAGAGTCCCATAAGACGCTCAGAAATCCGGACGACCACAGACCCCTGCAAACTTGCCTGGACAAAACCCACTGTAAAAAAAACACTGGAATATTCCTCGTCTTAGGTAGCTATAAGTATACCAGAAAATGATCCCCTTGAAGGAGCCCTATCCTAGTTGCACTGCAGCGTCGAATCCTGACTGTGAACCAGGAACGTCCGAAGCTCTCCGTCCAGCGCAGAAAGAAAGATGAACAACAAGGTCTGTGAAGCATTGAAAAGCTTCCGAAGTTGAGCTGCAATATCGGGGCCTTAGAAATTGGAATAGAGTTTTGGGGTATATGATACTGCAACTATACTTATCTTGGCCCCTATATTCAAGGTTCAAGGTCGCAAGGCCCGTCGAAGCTGAAAGCCTAAACCATAGCGTGGATCGAACTGTCCGTTAGTAGGCCTTGTCGCGAAGCTTCTGCAGGTCACTGTCGTGACTGATCACCTGCCAAACGCTTCTTTCAGCAAATATGCTCTGCATCTTATCGCCTCAGAACCTCTTATCAACCAGACGACTAGTATCACGAACAGCTCGACTAATGACGATGGCAGTTGGAACCGGCTAAACTCACCACAGTGGCTCTCCTAGTAGCAGTACCGGTGTCCGTCTCAAGTGTTCGTTTTTGCTGACCTTTCTTCTGGAGGATGAGGCGTTGTGTTTACACGGCAGGATCATGAAGATGACGACACACGTCATGATGGCCACGCCCATGCTGAAAGCAGTAAGTTTCTGGGATCATTTGTCCGAGTTTGCAGCAGTAAATATGATAGCTCCCATACCCTAGCCCAATCCTTAGACCAAAGATATGATAACCATCAGCGTCGCAGCATCTTTGATGCTTCTGCCACCATTATCATCACCACTACTTGCATCACCATCACCATCATCGTGGTCATCATCACCATCGTCATCTTCATCATCATCGTCATCACCAGCACCAACATCAGCAAGTCGCACAGGATCGGGCTGGATGGGACCAAGTACTCACTCAGCTACTGCAGCTGTCGTCTTCGTTGCCTGCGCCCGCGCGCGAATTCTTGTACCGGAACAAGAGTAATGTAGGGGCCTTAGTTATAAGAAGGAACCCCCCAAAACAGTATAGGTCATTGTTAAGGCCCCTGCATCATGCGCATTCAAAGCTTGAGTGTCCTCGCAACAATTCTGGTAGCGATCGAAGGGGTTCATCAATAGCAGTCTCAACAGTACGCCTGCCCGACTTGAGCCGACTCCCTTGGCAGCGAAAAGCCCAGCCAGATTCACAAAGGATCCCTGCTAGATACCACAAACTCCGGAACCCTTAGACCGCCAAACCCGTGATGCACCAAGCCTCCAACCAATCGACCTCTAAACACCCCGAATCCGTCAAGAACCAAATAACTAACCCCTGAACCCAACCCTGAACCACTCGGTTTAGTGTTTAAGCCCTCCCGAATTCTTGAACCACCAAACTCCCTAAACTCTAAGCAACCATGCATCCCCCACTACCAGGGAACGCCTTGGGAGTGATGTCCTTCAGCTGAGTGACCAGGGCGCTGATGTGGGGAGCCAAGGACTTGGCAACCGACTCTTGCTTTGGTTTAGGGTTCAGGGTTTCAGGGTTTAGGGGTTTAGGGGTTTAGCGGTTTAGGGTGCTTGTATGCACAAAAGGTTCGTTCGGGGTTTAGGGTTTTATTATCTTCTAGATGGAAGATTTGGCAAGATTGTGCTTGCTGAATCCGAACTCTTTCATATGAGGGTTTGGGGTTTGGGATTTGAAGTTGATTCCAGCTGTCGGGTTGAGGGGTCAAAGGTGCGGGGTTGGATTTAGAGCGTTACATGGTTTAGACTTGGGATGACTGAATTTCGCCTCGGAAAGTAACATGAGATCCGGGTGACAGCAGCCGTGTTATTGAAGAGTCATACGTGTAGAGGGCCATGTTTGGAGTGTTAGCAACCAGCCTCAGCAAGTACGAATATCGTTTTACAAAACCCCACATATTTGTCGGTCTTGCATTCTCTAGACCCGTATATATATTCAGTCTATCATTCGGACTTGGGATTGGCTTCGCAAGCTCGCGTTTCACGCTTGTCAAGAGTATACTCACCTTCGACTTGCGCACGGTTGAAGTAGCGGATTAAGTTTAAGGGCAAGATAGAAACACTGTTGGCATGAGCAAGCCCTCTTCTACCGGTTCTCACACAAATGCTCTTGGAGGGGAATGTAGAGCAGGATGAGGCATATGCATGTGTACAATCTCGACTAGCTTCACCCTGCAAAGCCCGCAGGCCTTTGGGGCAACAAACATCAATCGCCATACCCCGAAAACTGAAACCTGAATGCAAAAAAGCTGAACAAACCCTAAACCCTAAAGCTTGCAAAGCAAAACAACAGTGCCAAGGATGCAGCTTGCTCACCCCTCAGGGCCTGCGACAGCTGCGAGTTGAAGCTTCCACGTATACATGCTGTAAAATCTGTAATATATATATATATATGCAGTACGAAGATTAACTCAACAATCGTAGTAGTTGTTAGTTAACTACTTAATTGATAAGAGGGTTAGAGAATCAACCAATTAATCTTTCAATTAGCGGATTAATTCATTAGTGAGTGAGTGAGTGAGTGAGTGAGTGAGTGAGTGAGTGAGTGAATGAATGAGAAGGAGTGAGTGAATGCGAAGGAATGAGTGAATGAGTTAATTAGTCACTTAACCAATTTTGTGTGTATAGGTATATACCTACATACTGTTGCTATGGTTATTTACATTGATGAATGAATGCATAAATAAAATACATCTGTACACGTACGCGAAGTCTCCATAGCTAAACCACTTGCGGCCTCAAATTTAGCAATGCATCCCAGAAGGCACGGCTGCCTGCGCGCCTCTGAGTCCCTGTCTAAGCAAACATTGTATATACACCTAAACCTAAGCATTTCTTCAACAAGCCTAGCACTCTGGCAGGCTAGCATCGTTCCCTTCCAATGGCACTTCTGATTTGGGGTCGCAGATTCTAGTCTCCAACCAGCCCTTACCCTATTGAATGCCTTCAAGGCACACAAGCCTTAACCCCTAAATTCCCCAAAACCCCACAACCCTTCAACCCCAACACCCCAACCGAACTCATCGCTAAACCAAAACCCGAAAACCAATATGGAACCTCTTATAGAATCTATAGAACCTTCCTCATAGAAACCCAAAATTCGACAACCCCCCCCCCCCCAACCCGTCGCCTCGAGCTGCTCCTGCAGTGAGTTGAGCCTCAGTGGCATGGTTTCAGGGCTGCAGCCAGTGCTGCTCTGTTTTGGGGCTCTACCCGGCAGCCTCTTCCATAGCCAGGCCACTGCTCTTGGGCATTTTATTATATTATGATATTGACGCCCCGCTACCGATCTATCTATTTATCTACCCATCCATCCATGTATCTATCTATCCATTCATTCATCCATCTATCTATCTATATGTCTACTTATCTACCAATCTATCTATGTCTATCTATCTACAAAGCTGTCTATGTCTATCTATCTGTCTACCTATCTATCCATAACATATATACATGGTACCCCCCCCCGCCCCGGTACCTACCTTTTCTGTTGTTTATCGGTCCCGGAGTGGAAAGGTGCCCCAAAAGCCTTGTCTCTGCCCGATAAGGCCTATGTGTACAGACAGTGCTGTCGGTAACCTTGTCTCTGCCCGATAAGCCTTATATGTGTACAGACAGTGCTGTGAGTAATTTGATAATCGTGCTTAGCGATATCGGGGCCGATTCAACTTGAATCGGCTCGATTCAAGTTGAATCGGCCCTCGGA